GTAAGATAATTCCGTCGCCGTTAAACCGTGTTGCATGCACGTACAAAATCTTCTAAAAGCGCCGGTTTGAATTGTTGTGGCAAAGCTCAAATAAAGAAGTTTTATTTTCAGACTGTCGATAGTTTTTGAATTGTAAACAACGGAAGATTAAAGACTTTTGGTGAATAAATATCGAAAGCGTGAAAAAATCTGCGGGATGTTTAATATTCAGACCAATTTTTAAAAAATTTAGAAAACTCACTGAAATAAACCGGTCAGTAGTTCTAGGTCATCTCGCGTGAACGCGTTAAAATAAGAATCTATTAAGCACACCGGTACACGCGAGTTTTAAAACGCGAGCTTTCCCGGAAAAATTATAACGCAGTTGTAACGAGGATAACATCTGAAAGTGCATCCATACATCTTTCCGTTTCACGCTTACGCTTATGGCGTTCCGTCATGAAAATCGATCTGCAGCGAAACCGTGTTATCGATAAGGCGTTTACGAGTAGCCGGTAAGAGTTTACCTTGTCGGATTGGAGTAATCAATCGCGTCGCACAGCACTAAGCTGATAAGAGCGTAATTAGAAATAAGTCTCAAACATCGCGTCAATGAAAAGTTTTACAAACGTATCGCGCGCTGCATATGCAAAAAATTGTTTTTAAGTATTAAAAGAAATGGTCAATTGTTATAATTTATGCTACAAATATATAAATATACAAGTCGCTAATTTATTTTGTTTATTTTCATTCAATAAAATCTGAATGCCAATAAAGCTTTTGGCAGTAAAATAAAATCTGAATGTCAGCAATAAAACAGTCGATATATTCGCAGTAATAATAAACGTTAATTCCGAGATGTTCTATGCGAATTTACGCGGAAAGAATCACACGAGCTAAACGTTTGTAAGTGTCTGTATTTTAGATGGAAATAGAATGGCGGAAAGTATCGCCAGATGTGTTCACATCATCGTAAAACATAATAGATGACGCTTATCAAAGAACTCCTCAAGAATTATTGTAGTTCCTCAATACATAAATTTTGTTTAAAAAATTGAGCAAATTTATGCAATAAAAATTGAGAGAGAATTTTTCTTTCGTATTTAAAAAAAAAAAAAACGTATGTATTTTAAAAAGCAAGATTAAACGCTCGAAGTCTCAAACGTGTCAAGTTCTAAGTAAATATTGAAGTTGCAGAAAATGTGTAAATGATATGTCATTTCTTTAAAACCACAGGCGAGGAAAATTCCCAAGTCATATTTATACCTTTGACATATGTTAACTTATGACCCCGAAACTTCGTCATTTTGCTAATCAAAAAATTAACCAACTTATTTATATCACGATTTATTAACCAATTTATCACGCTATTAATCGGAAAATTTTCATATATCAAATAATACTCAATAAAATATTTATTGCCTGTGATTTTCATTTTTAATCGTAAGCGGAAAACTTGCATTTTTTTCCACTTCAACTTGATAATCACTTTACGAGCGTCATCCAAACAACACGTCTCTACTTTTATCATTAATATTGTAATAAACTAATTTATCACTTGACACGTTCGAAACCATCCATCTCGAATCCGCGGATGCCGGTATCGTGCTTCCGGCAACGTACGGTGCGCGACACGCCATCCTCACGTACCTTTCGCACGATCATCATGATCGCTCACATCGGAGCGAAGCGAAATCACGTTCCTATCGCGCTTGCGATGAGTCTAATCGTTCGCGAAGCCGGCGAGCATGCTCGAGACGTGGACGGTCAGCCGCGCAACCGACGGTCCCTCACTGCGGCGACTCGTCTCTTTTGATGACGCGGTCGTCAGAGACGCGAGTGGCGACCGCAGCGGTGGCGGCGGCGTCGCGATGCGCGTCCTCCACCGCCGACGCATCGCCGCCTCAGTGGCGCGTTTAGGCGTGGGCGTGCTGCCGGTACGCGGTCAGGGCACTTTACCTTCGGAGTTTTGTCGAATTACGCACTCATTGCCAAAATCGACCTTGGTCGACCCGATGATTTGACTTTTGAACGGTCCTCAATTATACGGATTGCGTAACCGCCTTTATTTTCGAGAGAAAACATCTCACGGTTCCAGCGATTGCCAGCTGATGTAAGTCAGCGCTGCTCATTCCGGTCACGTATTTCGGAGGGGTCAGAAAAGCTCGTGAATGTATCGCGCGGTTTATGTTACTCAGCATTGAGAACGTGATTAAAGACCGAATCTTATTTGTCGGTTAATTTTAACCGATGTCTTCTGTCGCAGCAAAAATTCGAGATTTATTATGTTTACATTACTCGTACAAATGATTACTGCGTCTTATTCAAATTAAAGCTTAGCAGACGATAACGAAGAATAATCATATCTCCAGTTTCTGAGATATTAATAGCGATATATTAATTAAAATATTCAATTTGCATTCCCGGATGCGAGAATTAAAAATACAGAACTTGACAAACATTGACACACATTGATTTTTATTTCTCAATTTTAATTAATGCGCATAATTGGATGCACGGGGGGCCTCAACAGGTGTAAACGCGCCACTGTCTGTCTGCGCCGGCAAGTCGGCCGGTTCTATCGATCCCCGGCACGAGACCGGCGCGAGCGGGAAAGACGAAAAACTAATCGAGTGAAAGTCGGTCGCGTGTCATAGGTGCGATTTCTGCTCGCTCACGACAAAGTAGCCTTGAAGTATCGGCGTCGGTGATAACGCGCGGCTCGGCGACAGCGAGCGCACGCAAAACCGGCCGCGATTAAAAAACTGTAACTCCTTCCGGCGCTTTCCGTAAGATTTCCTCAAGGCCTGGCGCGCAATAGTACCGAGAAAATAGTTGCTATTTCTGACATCGTCGTCATTCGGAATATAATTATACCTGCGAGAGATGTGGACATACAGGTTTTCATGAGAGCGCCCGTTCATATCTACTCGACTCATCTCGTTTCAGCTCATTAATTTAAGCTTATGTCACTCGCGGTTGCGTATTGCGGCAAAATCGCAAAGTTTCGGCCGCGCTCTTTCCCGAAAATCTATTTTTTTCTCCGATATTAATAAAATACATACATGCCTTTTTATCTGATAATATTTATCTGATAAATGCAAGCACTATTTTTCAAACTGATAAGAAATGATGTTATTTGTTACTAACGCAATGCTTTTTGCCGTTGAAAAATTAATATTTTCTCTGCAATTAATCAATCCGCGAGATTCGTACGCGAACAGCCTTCGTAAGAGAATATCATCGCGTGATTAGAAATAGTTCTAATTCGCTATCGCGCGATGAGTTTCGCCGAATGTCGAAGTGTTACGATCGAGAGTTTAACAGCGCTTCACTTCGTGAATTCTTGACATTTGGCCATCGGCAATGCAAATTGCAGACCTTGTCGAGTTTCGGTTCCGTATTAATTCCCTTCACATTTCGACACGCCATACGGGCAAAGGTTGAACCGAATTTAAAATCCTCAATAGGCCACTTTGGAACAGCTTTGTACCGTGTTTCGATTGCTCAATAATATAGCGATGGAAAGAACATACGCATTAAATCATGTGGCATATGCGATGTCCTTTTGAAGACTATCTCCGTCAATTACATAAATAATTAATTATTTGCAATGACAAATGGCATCTCGCAATCGTAAAAAAAATATTGCTGTATGACATATTAAACCTTGTTATTTCTGCAGCCTTCTTCGGAATTTAAGGCCGCCGAAAATATGTCATACAGCATTCCACGAGGCAGTTTCAACAGTGACAAAGTAAAATCACTCACCTGTAAGGAAGTGTCTTCAGGATGGAGTAGCACCAGCTGCCTCACTCGTTCCTCAAGCAGACTCACGAGGGTCGTGTATCTCCGGTTCAGCGTATCTAGATCGCGCGCAACAATATCGACCGTAATAACGGAATCTCGCCGCGGCCTCTTCACCGACGCGTCCAACGACGGGCAGATATCTTCCAATTGTTCTTTGAACGCTCGGAGCCTTTGTCCGTAGATCTAGGGGTTTCCGGTTAGTCCGTTATGGTTAGTGTAATTAGATCGGTGTGCGCGCGCCAATTACCGTTAGCCTCCGAAAGCGAGAGCGAGAGACGAGGCGTTCGGCCTCGCGGCGTTCACCACGCGACTTGCTATCGCGACTTTGACAACCCAATGTGGTACTTCCAGTGAACAGGATTTTGCATTAATGCTAGCTGCCGGTTATCCGTAGATACGTTAATCTCAATGTGTTTAGAGTAATTTTGGGACTGCTTCATTGCCGCAAGCAGCGTTTAATTAAACCGCGCTGCAGTTAATACTGATAAGGACAGCAGTGATATATACCTGGATTCGTGCCAAAATGTAATTATTCGTTATATCTTCGCGTACTACTCTACAATATTAATCGGTCAAGCGACGCCTCGCTGTTGCGCATGCTATACCTCACTGGGTTATCTATGAATCCAGAGGTCGGAAAAGTGTCAATCGTATTGTCAAGCGTTTCTAAGCGATATATGCGCATCTAGGATTCATAAAAACTGGCTCTAGATTGCCGCTAAAACGAGGTCGTGCAGCTCACTCAACCGTGCTTCTGATGTAACTGAGTTAACGAGGTATTGCCGTTAATAGTTAAAAAGGAGAGAAAGTCCAGCGATATTATGCGCGCGTTTTAGATCGTCCCGTGGGTTACATAAGTGAGTATATTTACTTAATGAATGAGAGTTAAGACGATTTGTGCCGTTTAGTGGCACGGGGCCCGGACGCAAATAGAAAATTCTACCGCAGGTAGAAAATTGATGTGACACCGCCGAGAGGACGTGGAAAAAACAGCAGCAGATTCGACTGTAAAGGAATCATATTTATATATACGGCGGATGTGCAACGCGTCTCAGTGCGTTTTGCAACCCGCCCCGCCCCGCTCCGATACTCCAGCCGCTGAGGAGGTGCCCGTTCCGACGAACGCTAAATCACAAAAATTAGTCCGCGCGCACGATTTGTGAAACTTCGAGGCGCGTACAGTAGTGATGATGAGAGACCTGTATATGTATGTACGACACACGCAGAATTCCATTCATGCAAGCATTCACACCGTAAGCTAAGGCTACCTATAGAGGCTTACTAGCACCGATTTATACATCACGATCCACATCTTCTTACCTTTCCCTCGCGGATCAGTCGGCCGCCCGTGATGTTCACCACCTCGATTGCCGGCGCGCGATCCAGCACTTTGCTCAGTAGGTTCTGAAGATAAAGCTCCGCGTTAATTCACCATGTCTCATTGATAAAATTAAATTAAATTTTAATTAAATTAAAAGAATATGGAATTGTTTCTTTGCCCACCTTCGAGTTCTCTATTTCCAGCTTCGCGTAGGATTCATCCACAAAGTCCACCTCGTTCTGGTACGAGTTCTGATATTGCTGCGCCAATCCATAGGCCGTTTCGGCACTGCGCAGCCTGTCCACCAGTTGTCCGCAGACATTCGTCCACCGTGCATTCAGTTTATTCACCTCGGCGTCCAATCTATCCATGTCGCCGTGTGGACCGCGGTGATTCGGTCTCGACTTCTCTACAAGACGCCTGGCGTTGTGCGCGTCTTCGTTCAGCTGATCTACCGACACCTGCTGCTGCGCGATAGCGTTTTGCAGTACCATCAGGTCTTCCAATACGATTTGCAGGCCCTTCACGTCAGACGGCAATTCGCCGAAAGAGGCCAGCTTGATTTCGAACTCGGAGATGGCAGCCATGTTCTCCTCGAGACTGGACAGCACAATTTCGACGCATTTCAAACGCTCGATGTACAAACTGCTCAAGTTCCACAAGTGATTCCATTTGGTTGTGACGTTGTCGAGCTTGTTCCTCATCGCTGGAGTCTTCAGGGTGATTCCGCGGAACGTCTGCTGCAATTGTTCCACATCGGGCGCCAAGCGTTGCAGATTTTGCTCGAAATCTTTGTGCTGCAGCACCAGATGTTCTAGACTGTCGAGATCTCGTGGTAACGGAGAAGCTATACGCGTGTTCAATACTCGCTCGGCATCGTCGAGAGCCTGCTGAAGCGAAGACGCCTGCTCGTTGAAAATGCGCCCGACGTTCTTCGACTCCTCCTCGGCTCTCGCGCGCTTCTCGAAATCGTCGAACAGTCGATTGACGTCCGCCATTTCTCGTCGCAATCTCCTGAGTTGCGGATCCGCCGGATCACCCTCGGAAAGCAGCTTGTCCGCGTCCTCATTCAACGCTTTCCTGATGGCGGTACGCTGATCCTGTCCCATCGCCAAGAATTGCGGCAGATCCCAACCCTTGACCACCTTGATAGTCGCGAATATCATGTTCTGTCTTAATCTCAATTGTTTTCGCTGCCAGAGAGCGACGCTCCTGTCGTACTGCCGTCTCAGTCTCTCCGCAGCTTCCAGCGCTTCCTTATCGGGAGGTTGCAGCGCGAAACAAACACCCGGTACGGGCGACTCCACGCCTTGTGTGTTCTTAACGCGCCATTTAACTCGGCCGGAATTGTCGTACAGCGTGCACTGTTCCCCTTTCTCGATGGACATCTAGAAAGATAAGAAAAAGATATACGTATTCAAATGCACTCCACTTTTCCAAATTAAGCAGCATGTAAAACGATACTCACATTGACTTGCTTGTAAGTGCAGATGCAAGTGACCTGCAACGGTCGCATAACAGGCTGCTTGCGTTGCTTCATGGGAACGATGTCCTTCGCTCTCTCCACGAGTCTCTGTACGTGATCGCCATAATTGTTGATTTCCTCGCGTAACTCTTGCATGCCCTTCAAGAGCCGCTCTCCCTCGTCCAACGAGAAATCGGATTGCGAATAAACAGTGTTTAGTGTTTCGTCCCGTTTGGAAATCCACTGTTCGGCCTGTTGAACCTCTTTGAAGAATTGCTGGTTTTGCGCGGCGTGCTTCAAATGCACCTCGAGGCAAAGAGTGAGTTGCAGTAGCCAGGCCCATTGAGTTTGCATCGCGGACATGTAAGCTTCGATGGTTTTCGCCGCGGGATGATGTTGAAGGACCAGTGCTTCGCCGCGATCTTGCACCGCCGAGAACTGTATCTCGCGCTTCTCCAAATCGCTCATCAGAGACTGAAAATAAATGATAAGCTGTCTTTTCAACACTTATGCAAACACGACAAAAATTAGAAACTGGATGTGTAAAGGTGTAATTAAAGATCAATATAAAACATGATATTTAAATGTCAGAATAAAAAATATAAAATATTTTTGTGCAATATTCTATGATATTTTCCCAATATTTATATAAAAGTAATTAAAATTTATATTTATAGATGCATGTATAAAAGTGTAATTAAAAATGGATATAAAAGATAATATCTAACAAAATAAAATATCAAATTAAAAAGTACAAACATATTTTTTCAATATTTTACCTCTATGCCAGATCCATACGTTTGCTTTAGAAAGAAGAACATTTCCAATTTATTAATCCAACCAAAAAGTATTCACGTTGTACATTGTGAAAATGGTATGAGTCTAGCTACATTGTGTATCATCACTCTTTTATCTAAATCTTTCAATAACTCGATACTCGTCACAGACCAACATTTTTTATTTCTTAAGAAAAGTTATTCGATGACGACTTACCTCGTAATATTGTTCGATGCTCTGTACATTGAGGTTCTTGTCGCTCCAATCACGCGTGACTTCGGTCTCTTCCTTGGCATTCAACCAAACCAGCTCGCCGGTTGCCGATTGTATGAAATCGTGCAGTGTGTCCAAATCGGAGAGTCTCTTATTCGATACGGCGAGAAGCTCGGCGTAGAGCTTCTGCAAGGTGCTGAGATGCTGGCTGTACAATGTAAGTTCCTCGCCGTGGAAATTGTTCTTCGCTTGCACACACTTGTCGACCTTGGCCTGGAACTGATCGATGTTTTTGTGCTCTCTCTGATGTACGTCCAATTCATTTTGCACGCTAGGCAAGTCCGATCCGTAATCTGCTTCTTGTAGATGCTTCAGTTTACTCTTGCACCAGTCTATACAGTCGTGTAAAGCGCGGAAGTGAGGATTGGTATCGACCAATCGTGTTTCGTGGACGGTAGTACGGTGCTTCGTGACAACGCGCTCCTCCACAGGGAGGAAACTGCGGAGAGCGGTTGCACTAAACGCCTGTGCAGAAGGGATCGCAATACGACCCATCTTTGATGCAATTTCTGTACTCTGAAAACAGATAAACACATATTTTG